GACGGGTGCCTGCTGCTGCTTCCTCGTGCTCACGGCGGGAAACGAGCCGAGGGCCCAGGAGCAGGTGGCAGTGCCCTCACAGGTTGGAGCAGCCCCGTACTGTGGGGCCCCGCTGGTGCCAACAGCTAAGGGCTGTGTTGAGCTGGCCGGGGGGCCCCCAAGCCCCACCCCGCTATGGCATGGCCCTCCCTGGCGCTTCTGCCACCACCTCTGTGGCCCCAGGTCAGGTCCCTGGCAGAGTGCAGTCAGGTGCCTCAGTTAGGGGGCACCGCCAGGATCCAGCGGGAGGGAGGCCTGGTCCTCTGGCGTCCAGAGCCCTCCCGGCTGCCTGCCCACCCGTCCCGGGCCGAGTGCTAATATGGTGCTGTTTTCCCGGAGCAGGGCCCTGGGCCAGGCGCACATCCCCACGTGGCTCCCGCCGGCCCTGGGGAGCGCGCCTCGCAGTAGCTGGGCCAAGAGCGCCTGGAATCCACTTTACGAGGCCCCAGGGGCCGTGTGCGTCTGTCTGCAGGTCTCTGGTGTCCGTCTCCGCAGGTCCCCACATTCCAGCCTCCGTCGTCGCTGCCCTGATTCTGTGCCTTCTGCTCCTTGGCGTCCTGCTGACACCCTGACAGTTGGTGACTCCCAGGCAAGATGACTGGCCCTTATAGGGAGGAAGGGTCTCCTCTGTGAGGGGAGGGGCTTGGGGCTCTCCGCAGGCTTTTAGGGCCCCAGGCTGGGACAGCTGTGCCCTGTGCCAGTTGGTCCAGGGGCATTGCCAGGGCGTCAGGCGGTACTTGGAGTCGCAGACCTGGCGCAGCAGCCCGTGCAGTCATGGCCCGCTGAGAGGCCCACCCCCCACATCCTGTCTCCTCCCTGGTGTCCCCCCAGCCTGCCCGCAGGGGCCGCCTGGACGATCCTGATGATCAGTGAGAGGTTACAGAGCTGGGACATCAGCCCCCCGAGAGCGGGCCTGGGGGGTGGGAGACTCGCCTGAGGTCCCCCAGCCAGTGAGTGACAGAGCCCTGATGACGTCCATTCAGCCCCTCCCAGTGTGGGGCGTGTGTGTACTGTGCATATGCGTGAGGCTGTGCATGTGTCAGTGTGCCGAGTGTGCTTTTGTCCCCCCCCTTTGGGGAGGAGAGGGAGAGAAAAAGAGGTAGGTCTGTTACTTGGTTTAAAATTTGCTATGCGATGGGGCCCGCGGGTGGCACGGTGGTTAAGGGCACTGGACTCCCACATGGCCAACCACGGTTCGAGTCCTGGACCTGGCGGTTTGCTTTCTCACTTTCTCTCATTCTGTCCCTTGTCAAATTTAAATAATTAAATAAAGCTAAATAAACAATTCTTACGAAAAATAATTTGCTATGGGGTGCGTGCACTTGCTAGGGAGAGAGGGGAAAAGTGAGAAAGTACCCCCCTCCGTGGGGACGGCCCCGCTGCCACCCCTCCTCTGTCCCCCTTTTGGGATTTTGGGCATGCACGCACACACGCCTGATGTGTTTTTCATGCCACCGGATCCAGGATGGGAACCACACAAAGGTGTGGGATCCAGCCACCTTCACCGGCACACCCCCATCTGGCCCGAGAGAGGCCTCTGTGATGGTGTCGTCTCCTGCCCTGTCTGCCGGCAGCCAGGGTCAGGCAGGCGCGGCTGCACCGGCATCTTCACCAGGCTGGCCTGGGGACTGAACCCACGTGTCGTGGCCAGACGTGACTGCACGCGTGTGTGGGAGACGGGGCGCTGCGCTGTGAGGCCCGCTCGTGTGCGTGTGTGCTGGAGACGACGCGTCCCCACATGGGGCAGTTTGCCCGCAGGCCCCGGGACACACCACCCCGAGCCCGGGTGATCGAACAGCCGTTTATTGTGCTCCAGTGAAGTAGAAAAAGGAAAGTGCTCGCGTCACAAACGCCGCTGGCACGTCCACGTAGGCCAGTCGCTGCAAACCAAACCGCGTGTGGCCGCTGGGTCCCGGGCATGCAGTCGGCTCCCGCTGCGGGGCGGGGCAGGGAGCCTGGGCTCTGGAGGCTTCGCTTGGGGGGGGGGGCTTCTGGTCCTGGGGGTACCCACTGGTGAGGGAGTCGGGGGACAGCCGGAATAGCTTTGCTCAGTGCGTCACCAGGGCCCGTTGGGGACACCAGGCTCTATGTCGTACCCTGCAGTACTGCAGGGCCAAGGGCCCCCTTCCCCCTCCAGGCGCCCCAGTCAGTGCTCCCCAAACTCTAACCCTGTAGGCAGGTGCCGGGGCCGGAGGGTGCCATGCAGGGAGAGGGGCTGGGAGCAGCAGCCAGCCTCCTGGGCTCTGCGGCCCTAGGCGGAGTTGTAGTAGTTGTGCGGGTGGTGGTTGTGGGCCGGCCCGCCCAGCTCCAGCTCGTCGGGCGTCAGGCAGTACTTGGGGTCGTAGACCTGGCGCGGCAGCCCATACACCGTCATGCCCCGCTGCGAGGCCCCCTTGTTGCTGCCCATCTGCAGGCTGACGTTGAGCGTGTCACAGTGCTCCATGCCCAGCCCCGGCTCGAAGATCTGCCGCTTGGTCCCCGGCGCCGTCATGCCAGCCTGCGGGGGGACGTGGCACAGTCAGGTGGTGGGGGGTGGCAGCCTGGGCCTCGCTCTCGCCCACGTGCCCCGCGGCCCCCTGCTCACCTGGCTGGCCCCCTTGTTAGTGCCCATCTGCAGGCTGATGGTGGCCTGGTCCAGGGGTTGGTCCGTGCCCAGCTTGGGGTCGTAGAGGTGGCGCCGGGTGCCGTAGGCTGTCATGCCCTGCTGGCTGGCGAACTTGTTGGTGCCCATCTAGGAAGCCAGAGGAGAATGACGTGGGATTCAGAGCCTGCCCAGGGCCAGGGGCGGGGATGGGAAAGCAAGGTGTTTCTGCTCCAGGGTGCAGGTGGGAAACAGGCCCGGGATGGTTTCTACGGTTCAGGTCTCAGCCTGCTGCTCTCCAGCAGAACAAGCCAGCCCGTGTGCCAGCTCGGGAAGCAGCGGGGATGCGCCACCCAAGAAAAGTGGGGCGGGCACCAGCAGTTGGAGGAATGGCTACGTCGCTGGAGACTCCCATGTAGTCGACCAGGGTTCAAATCCCGCACCCGGTGGCTTAACTCACATTGGGCACGTGTGCGTGCGTGCCCAAGATCCCGAGAGGAGAATGGAGGAGAAGGGATTGCGGCATGGCCATCCCCCCTGGGGGGTGATTTCTCGCTTTCTGTCTCTGTCTTCCTGGCAAACGCATGCGTCCTATAGCAGAAACCTCTCCAAGAAAAAAAAAAAAAGGAGAAGAAAAGAGGGGGGTCAGGGACAGTGGGGGGCGTGGTGGTTAAGGGCACTGGATTCCCATATGGAGACTACAGTTCAAGTCCCAGGCTTGACTTTCTCTCTCTCTTTTTCTTTCTTCTCCCCACACTCCACTGTTCGTTCGTCTCTGTCTGGTGAATGCACATGCCCTGTAGCAATTTTTTTTTTGCAAATTTTTTAAAATAATAAAAAAATGATTAAAAAAAAAAAATCTGGTGCCACATGGCAACTGCAGTTCGGATCCCCTCCAGGTCAGCCTGAGACACTCCAGGCATGTGCCTAAGTGCCCCGGGCCTGAGAGGCTGGAGATCCGCAGGAGAGGGGTCTCTGTGCGAGACTAGATCCAGTGGAGGCTCACTCCCACTCTCTCACATGTGCCCGTGTGCACTCCACTATGGAGAAAAGAAACACACACTAAAGAACAAAACATTGGAAGTCAGGACCGGCAGCTAGCAGTAGTGGTCGCGTTACTGGACTCCCACAGTCAACCGCGGATCAAGTGCCAGACCTGGCCACTTAAACTCACGGGCACATGTACATGTGTGCCCCAAATCCCGAGAGGAGAATGGAGAAGGGATTGTGGCATGGCCACCCCCCACCCTCCACCGGGGGTGATTTCTCACTTTCCATCTCTCTGGAGAATGCGCGTGCCCTGTAGCAACAATCTCTGTCTCAAAAAAAAAAAAAAAGAAAAAGACTTTTTTTTTAAGGACTGGCCCAGTAGGGCAGCGGCTAAGTGCTGGGCGTTGGGAACTAGATCCCACGTGGTGGATCTCGTGGCAGATCTCGGTTGGAGTTCTGGGGGGTGGCGGTGGGACCGTGGCCCGTTGGCAGCTGCGTCCTTCCCCCTCGGCCCCCGCAGGCCTTGGTCTATAGGAAGGGCTGGTGGGGGGTGGAAAGGCTAGAGCAGTGAAAGCCACTCATCCTGGCCCCAGAGCTTCCAGGGCCCAGGGTGCGTCCCCTGACGACAAGGACAAGGTGGCTCAGCCGGGCGGGGGAGGCGGGCTTACCTGCAGACCGATGATGTTCCGCCCTTCCCGGAGCTTCTCAGGCTCGAACTTGCGCTCCTGCCTCTCTGCGTACTTGACCCCCACGTTCACCTTGTTCCCTTTCGTCTTGGCCTGGGTGGGGCGAGGAGGGTGGTTCTGACCAGGGAGCCTGTGAGCTGTAGGCCCTGCTCTGCCCGGGTCGCCCAGGCTGGGCTCAGCGTCACCAGCGGCCCCCCTCGCATCCCGGCAAGGCGCCCACCACCCTCAGCCCTGCACCCACACTCACCATGCTGGCCAGGGCCAGGAGGGTGGACTGCACCTGGGTGTGGTTGGTGTTCTCAAACAGGTCGTTGGCCTCGAAGATGTCGTGGGGCTTTACCCCGTACTTGGTGATGGCCTTGATGAAGTTGCCGATGTTCTCGAGCTGGGGGTGGGGACAGGGGAGCAGGCGGGGGTCAGGTAGGACAGGCCTGAGGGGATCGTGGGCAAAGGATGGGGGGAATCCGGGCTCACCTGGTGCCAGTTTTGGGTCGACTCGTTTACCTTCTTCACGGAGCCCGGCTGGAGCTTGTTGATGAACCTACAGGAAAGGGAAGGGGGGCCAGGGAGTGGTGCAGCGCACCCACGTGGGATGCAGACCCAGGAGCCCCCAGGGTCCACCAGGCATGCGTGCACCTCCCGACTGAGTGACCACAGTGCGGGACCCCGTTAGGGTGCCTGTCTTTGTCTCTCATGGAAAAAGTAAATAAGTAAAAAAATTTTAAGAGAGATTTTTGCTATAGGGCATGTGCAAGATACAGAGAGAAAAGGAGAAATCACCCCCAGGGCGATGGCCACACTGCAGTTCTTTCTCCATTCTCTCAGGACCTTGGCCGCACACGCACACGCGCCCGGGATGAGTTTTGAAGCCGCCAGGTCTGGGACTCGGACCGTGGTCTACTGCGTGAGAGTCCAGTGACATAACCATTATGCCACCTTAATAATTAGTAAATTCTTTCTTTATTTTTTTTTTGGCGAGGTTTTTGCTATAGGGCATGTGTGCTCGCCAGACAGACAGAGACAGAGAGACAGAGAGAGAGAAATCACCCCCCAGAGGGATGGCCACGCCGCAATCCCTTCTCCATTCTTCTCTCGGGATCGTGGGCACGCACGCACACACGTCCGGTGTGAGTTTAAGCCGCTGGGTGCGGGACTCGAACCCTGGTCGACTGCGTGGGAGTCCAGCGACATAGCCATTACACCAACTGCTGATCCCAATAATTAGTAAATTCATTTTTATAAAAACGTTTGTCAGGTGGCTGGACAGTGATGCAGCGGTAAAGCGCACTTTGCAGGGCTGACCCACATGGGAGGGCGGGGTCCAGAGACCTGTAAGAACACCAGGCCTCGTGCCCGTCCTCGGAGCAGGCTGGGGTCAGCTGGTGCTAATTTTGGGTCCGTTCTCAGTGGTGAGACCTGTGGGTGGTGCTACCTCTCTGGCTCATGGAAGCTATTATATAAACAGGGACGCTTTTTTCTTTTTTTATTATAGGGCACATACGCTCACCAGAGACAGAAAAAGTGAAAAATCACTCCCCGGGGGGGGGATGGTCAGGCTGAAATCCCTTCTCCATTTTCCTCTCAGGATTTTGGGTGCCCAGTGTGATTCTGTAACCACCATGCCATCTGGACGGCCCATAAATGGATAAACTTTTTACAGAGTTGTTTTTTAAAAAAATTAATAACATTTATTTGTTTGCCAGAGGGTACATGCACTCACGGGGGGAGGGGAGAGAGTGAGAAAGTACACACACACACACACACACACACACACACACACACGGGGCCTGGTCATGTCTCAATCCCTCCTCTTGGAATTTTGGGCATACACACACGTGTTTGGTGTAGTTTTCAAGCTACTGGGTCCGGGACTCAAATCACACGGAGGGCCACATGGGGTCTAACCACTTTAACCACCATACCACCAACTGACCCACAAAGTTTCTTTAAAAAAAAAAATCTATTATTATTTTAAGAGTCGACCGGAGATGGGACCAACAGTTGGTGTAATGGCCATGTCACTGGACTCCCATGTAGTCGGCTGCAGTTCAAGTCCCAGACCTGGTGGCTTAAACTCACGCTGGGCGCGTGTGCGTGCGTGCCCAAGATCCTGAGAGGAGAATGGAGGAGCAGGGATTGCGGAATGGCCAGCCCCCCAGGGGGTGATTTCTTGCTTTCTGTCTCTCGGTTTTTCTGTCTGTCTCTTGCCTTTCTGGCAAGCACACGTACCCTATAGCAAAAAAACTCTCAAAAAAAAAAAAAAAAAGTTGACCAGAGAGAAAGGGAAACTGAGAAAGCAGTCCACCAGGTCCAGGACTTGAACCACAGTCAGCCACATGGGAGTCTACACCTTAACCACCATGCCACTTGCTGACCCCCCACAAAGTATTTTTTTAAAGAATTGTTTCATTTTATTTATTACTATTATTATTTTAGTTTGACCAGAGAGAGACACTGAAAGGAAAAGTGAGAAAGCAGGCTTCTGGGCCTGGGACTCGAACTGTGATCAGCCACGTGGGAGTCCAGCACCTTAACCACCACACCTCCTGCCTGCCCCTTACAAAGTTTTTTAAGTAGGGAAGGAGAGTGAGAAGGATGGTCTATGCTGGCCCAGCAGGGGGCGCACTCCTGCCAGCTGGTGGGCACTACCCATTGTACCACCAGGCTGTTTCTGACTAAGTGGATGTCAGCCTCAGCCCCACCAAAGCACCTTGGGTCGGGGAGCTAGACACAGGTCTCTCTGGTCAGAAAGCCTCCTCCTTCTCCCAGGCCTCTGGCAGGCAGGGCTATGTCCCTTTTTTCTCTGACCACACTCACCCCAGTGACCACATCTACTCCTGATATTTTTCTTTTACATTCTGCCAGAGGGCATTTGCACTCACCAAAGACAGGAAAAGGGAGAAGGCACTCCCCGTGGGGAATGGCCACACTGCAATCTTTTCTCCTTTCTCCCTCCTTCCAAGACCTGGGCCATGCATACACACACACACACACACACACACACACACACACACGGCACTGAGTGTTTTTCAAGCTGCTGGGTCCGGGACTTGAACCACATGGTTAGCTATGTGGAATCCAGCTGCCTTAGCTTCCAGGCCACAGGCTGGCCTGAATCTCTTGATCTGAAATGCAATCATCTATGTGCCAAGGACTTCGCAGTCCCCTGTGGCCCACTCCAGCTCCCTGTATGGGTGTCTCAAACTGAACACACCCCATTGTGGGATCCTGACACCAGCTCCCCCAGCAAGCTCACTCTCCCCCCAGGGCAGCCCCTGAGTCCAGGTGCACAGCCAAAGCCCTCAGGTATGCCCTCGATTCCCCCCTCCCTGCTGTTCACCCCCATATCCAGTCCCTTGGCAAACCCATCCGCCCTGGCTCGCTCTCACCAGCCAGCTCCTCCAGGGGCCTCTCCCTAGTCCCCAGCCTCTACCTGGTCCCCTACGGAGCCTTCATCCAGCAGCTAGAAATGGCCTTCAAAAACAACGCAGGGCCGAGACCAGCAGGTGGCGGAATGGTTACATCGCTGAACTGCCATGGAGTCAACCGCAGTTTGAGTCCCTGAGCAGGTGACTTAAAATTCACACCAGGTGCTGGATTCCCTCATGGCTGACTGCGGTTTGAGTCCTGGACTTGGCAGCTTGCTTTCTCGCTTTACCTTTCTCTGGTCAAAATTTTTTTTAAGTAACAAATGTAATTAAATAATTCTTGAAAGAGAAAAAAGAATCTCAAGCCCAGCCAGGCGTTTGTGCGTGCGTGCCCAAGGTCCCTAGAGGAGAATGGAGGAGAAAGGATCGTGGTGTGGCCATCCCCCCCAGGGGGGTGATTTCTCGCTTTCTGTCTCTGGCGAGCACTTGCACCCGATCACAGAAATCTCTTTTTAAAAAAAAATCCAGGTGGCCGCATTCCACACATGGCCAAGTATGTGGTTCAAGTCCCAGACCTGGCAGCTTGAGAGAAACACATTAAGTGCGTGTGTGAGAGTCCCCAAAATCCTGAAAGAAGAAGGGACTGTGGGACCAGCAGTTGGCGTAATGGCTATGTCGCTGGACTCCCACGTAGTCGACTGTGGTTCGCGTCCCAGACCCGGTGGCTTAAAACTCATGCCGGGCGCGTGTGCGTGCGTGCGTGCCCAGGATCCCGAGAGGAGAATGGAGGAGAAGGGATTGCGGCATGGCCATCCCCCCAGGGGGTGATTTCTCGCTTTCTGTCTCTGTGTCTCTCTCTGTCTGTCTGTCTGGCGAGCGCATGCGCCCTATAGCGAAAACCTCTCCAAAAAAAAAAAAGTCAGGGACTGTGAGTGGCCATCCCTCCGGGGTGTGCATACCCACTGGCAAAAGTTTAAAAAGTGGGGCCAGCAGGTGGCACGGTGGCTGATCATGCCCCAGGTCGGAAAAACACGCCAAGTACATGTGCGTGTGTGCCCAAAATCCCAAGAAGAATGGAGAAGGGGTTGGGGCATGGCCATCTTCCTTGGGGGTTCTCATTTTCTCTCTCTGTCTCTGTCTCTCTGTCTCTCTTGGCAAGCTCACTGATCCTATGACAAAAGAAACTCTAAAAAGATGGTAAAGATTCTATTCTGGGGCCAGGGGGTGGTGCAGTGGCACCTCTGTGACAGTCTTCAAAGCTGACCCCCATGCCGAGGTACTGGGTTTGTGTCCAGAGACCTCCCTGAACATGCTGGGTACACGCATGTGTCCGTGATCCAGAGCTCCCTAAAGCTGGGGTGGGGGTCACGGGGTCAAGACCCCGTTGGGAGTGCTGTCCTTGTCTCTGTCTTTGTCTCACTCCCGGAAGAAAGAAACTTTAAAAGACTTTGGCTCTGGGCCAGTAGGTGGCGTGGTGGCTAAGGCTGGATCCCACGTGGCCAACTCTGCAGTTCGAATCTTGCACCCGGTGGCCTGAACATCACTCCAGGTGTGTGTGGGTACCTGCCGGAAATCCCGAGAGGAGCGATGGAGGAGGGGTGTGGCGTGGGGGGGACAGGGGTGGTTTCTCACTCGCACCCTTCTTCCTACAAGTGCACTCTGTAGCAAAAATCTGCAAACCAGACCAGAGTTCTGGCGCTGTTTCTGTTGAAACAGCGGGCGACGTTGGGCACCAGGTTTGACCAACCCAGCCTCAGTCTCCGCCTGTGAGGTGGGCACCGTGGTCTGTCCCCTGGAAGGACTGTGTGGGGGTCACTTGAGAGGGTGAGGGGCTCCAGGGAAGGGCACCACTGGGGGTGCAGGGCACAGCAGGCTCCGGGCCTGGAGAGCCCACTCACTCGCAGAGAATGATGCCGTCCTTGAGGCCGTCCATGAAGTTGTTCCCGATGCGGCGCCCGGTCACCCCCTCGATCCACTCCCTGAGCTCCTGCTCGCGCTGGTGGTCGTACTTCTGGGCCAGCTGCGGCCGGGGGCACGGAGAGGGTGCTCAGGCTGCAGCCTGGAGCCGGCCACCTGGGCTCCCTGGTCCACTCCCAGCCTGCCGGCCCCCATCTCCTTCCCCGTCCCTTCCCAACTAAGGCAGTTCCACCCCGGCCGCCATGGGGGGGCCCAGGGCCGGGGCTGAGGTGGCACCTGCCCAGGGGGCCATTCCGGGCATTCTGAGGTTTGGCACCCGAGCATGGAGACAAGGGGGTGGGGGGCGGCGCCTGGCCTCCCGGTTCCCCCTCCAGGCCAAACTTGGGGCTTTGCGTGCCCTGGCCCAGCCCCCCTCCACTCCCCCATGGGAAGAAGGGAGACAGAACAGGGGAGAAGGAGCCGGGAGGCCCGGGTGCTGGCCGGCAACCCCGACGTCCATCCCTGTTCTGGGGCGGGGGGACTGTCCCTGTTGGGTCGGGGTGGGGGGACCCTCCATCTGCCTTACTCCTGAGCGTTTTCACCTGCGGGTCTGCCTTTCGGTGCCGCCCCCACCTCCCCAGCTCTGTCTGTCTGGTCTGTCTGTCTCGTCCCAGTTTTCCTGTCCCCATCTCTCCGGGTGGCTTGTCCCGGCCTGGCCGGGGGTGGGGCTCGCGGCTGTCGGGCTGGAGCTGGGGCTGGGGCGGGGGTGGGGCCGCCTCACCATCTCCCTCCGTGCCTGCCTCTGATCTCTCCCATCTCGGGCTCTCCCCCAGTATCTCTGCCGGCGTCTCTCCTCTGCTCTGGTTCTGCACGCCCCTCCGCCCCCACCCCGGGAGCTGGAGCTGCTCCTTCCCCCTGGGTGGGGAGGGGGAGGTGGGGGGGCGGCCCCCTCACCTGGCCCCGGCCCTGCGGCCCCCCTCCTCACCAGCCCGACTTTATAAAGCAAACCGGCCCTTATATAGCACGGCCCGGGCTCCCCGAGGCCGCCTTATAAGGCGCGGCGGCGCGGCTGGGCTCGGCCTCCCGCCGAGCACCCGCCCCCTCCTCCAGCCCGAAGATCCCCCGACCTCGACCCGGCTGGGATCCCAGCTCCCCGCTCCCCCGCTCCCCACTGCCTTGCCTGGGACCCTGGGGAAAGCCACCCTGAGCCTCAGCGTTTCCCTCCATCAAATGGGCCGGGAACCCCACCCCTGACAGCGCTGCGGGAGGGTTCCACCGGGCACCACCGGGCACGGACGCCAAGCCCCCTGCTCTGGAGAAGCCGGCCCGCCCCGTAGTGGTGCAGGGATGGTGGGAGTCCAGGGTCCCAGCCCCAGCTCTGCACCTGCCCTGCCTGCACCCTCCCTCCCTCCCTGCCTGTCCTCTGGCGGCTTCCTTCTCTGGGGCTTGAAGGTTGGGTCCCTGTGTCCCTCCTAGTCGCAAATTAGGGGACGCCACCTGCATTCCCCTACCTGCTCCTTGTCCTCCCAGCTGGCTCCCTCTGTCACCTGCTCCCACATTTTCTGAGCAGCCCCTCCCAGGAACCCCAGTTCTCAGGTGCCCCCAATTTCATTGTCAGGCTGGGAGTCCACGTGGGGGGCAAATCAATGTGCCTTCCCCTCTATCCCTTCTCCTCCCGGAACAGGAAGAGTTAATGAGGACTCAGCTCAGGTAGGGGTCTCTGCAAGGGACCACCTGTTTTTGTGGGGCCCTGCATCCCCCAGCCCAGCGCAGCATCCCACCCCCCCACCTTAGGCGAGGGCTCTGCGTCCCCTCTGGGGTCCCAGGTTCTGTGGGATAGGCAGGGCGGGGGTTCAGGGCTCCCTAAGGGCGCTCCAGCCTACCTTGTTCTTGACCTCGGCGGAAAGCCCGTAGGCGGGACCTCGGTTGAAGTGAGCAGAGGACATGCCGGCTGCTGGGCTCTGGCAGGACGACGGTGCCAACGGGGCGGGTGGTGCTGTCACCGAGGACACTGGCGGCTGAACCTCCGTCTGCACCCTCTTCTCTCCTCACACGTTTTTGAAGCTCCACGGGCCGCCCGGGTCTCTTCCAAGGCCACGCCATTGGCCACCACGTCCAGCCAAGGGGCGGGGCGCCCCCCACCTCGGCCACCCCCTCGTGATGTCAGGGCCTTGGTATTGGGAGCTGGTTGTGTCATTGTTTCCACCTAGGGGGGCAGCCTGCGTTATCCTCCGGGGAAGGGCCCGGTCAGACGGAGATGGAGGAGATGGACCTTCCTCAGCGCCCCCCTCGCTGTCCCCTGGGCCTCCGGCTGCATCTCTGAGTCTCTGTCTCTGCAGTAAGGAGGCAAGACTGTCCCCCGTGGTAGCTGAGCGAGCACAATCCTGGCTTTACTCCAGACACCAGTAGTTCAGAGCATCTGGCAAGTCCCTTCTCTCCTCGGGGCCTCTGTTCTCCCATCAGTAAAATGGGCTGGGGCCGGCAGGTGGCCCGGCGCTTAAGGGCACTGGCTTCCCACGTGGTCGACCGCGGTTTGAGTCCTGGACCTGGCAGCTTGGTTCCCGCTTTCCCTCTCTTTCTCTGTCCCTGTCTGGTCAGATTAAATTAAAGAAAAAATAGATTCATAAAGTTAAATAATTCTTTTATTTTTTTTAAAGGGGGGCTAGGGTAGTACCTGCCTCATGACGGTGTGGACACTGGAAAAGACATTCCCAGCACGTCCCGTGCAGCGCCGGACATGGGGGACAGACTCAGGCAGAAGTAGCATTTTCCCGCAGGGGCTGGCACCCAGTTCTGTCCCCTCCAGCCTCTTGTAAGAACAGGAGGGAGCCTCACCCTCCCCACCCTCCTCTGGGTCACTGAGCTGGGGGGTCCTTCTGTGAGGGAGCCCCAGGCCATCAACACCCCCATGTCCCTGCAGGCAGCCCCACCTGGCCAGATCTCACCCCTGAACCATGCCCACACCATGCCACATATGTCAAGGACCTGGTAGTGACACTTGGTGACATGTCAGCGACCTGTCATACACTAATGACATGCTAAGGACAAGCTATGTGCCGGCCACATGCTAAGGGTGTGGCGGGGACACGCGACCACTCTTCTGTCGGGCTTCGCTCCTCCCCACGGCACCCTTGGAGGGGGATGCTGTTATTCCACATGTTACAGATGGGGAGACCGAGGCACAGGGCCGTGGAGTCATTGCTCAATGTCACACAGCTGACCAGTGGCAAAGTGGAATTTGCCTCCGGTCCCCTGCCCCAGGGCTAGGAGGCTAGGGCAGAGTTCTCAACCTCAACCCCATGGACAGTCCGGGATGGCTAATTCTTCTTGATGAGGGCCTGTCTTGGGCATCGTAGGACCTTTTTGTTTAAAATAATTTTATTTAACTTTATTTATTATTCATTTATTTATTTCGATTTGACCAGAGAGGGGTAGAGTGAGTGAGAGAAAGGAAGCCGCCAGGTTCGGGATTCGAACCGTAGTAGTCCATGTGGGAGTCCAGCACCCTTAACCACCAAGCCCACCTGCCAGCCCTATGGACTTTTTATTTTTTTATTTTAAGAGTGATTTTTGCTATAGGGCACAGGCACCTACCAGAGAGACAGAGAGAAAGTGAGAAATCACCCCCCAGGGGGGATGGCCACACCGCAATCCCTTCTCCATTGTCCTCTCGGGATCTTGGGCACACACACATGGCACGTGTGTCCGATGTAACTTTCAAGCTACCAGTCCAGTATTTGAACTGCAGTCAGCCATGTGGGAGTCTAGCAGCTGAAACACCACGCCACCTGCCGGCCCCTGTCCTTATTCTTGACAAACAGAAATATCTAGACATTGCCAAAAGTCCCCTGGTGGTGGTGGTGGTGGTGGTGGCAGAGCACCCCGTTGCCCTATTTGAGAACCACTGGGCTAAGGCACTGTGCCAACGGGCAGTGGATGGCATGGCATGACATGTTAAAGACACGCTGAGACATGTACAGTGAGCTAACCACAAGCAACAGCTATCTACTGCTTTAGATCTTTTTATTAAACAACTATTTTATTTCATTTTATTCACTGTCATTCTTTTACTTTTTATTTATTTTTTTATTTTTGGAGAGGTTTTCTCTATAGGGCACGTGCACTCGCCAGAGAGAGAGAGACATAGAGGCAGAAAGCGAGGAATCACCCCCAGGGGGATGGCCACGCCACAATCCCTTCTCCTCCATTCTCCTCTCGGGATCTTGGGCACGCATGGACATGCGCCTGGCGTGAGTTTTAAGCCACCGGGTCCGGGATGTGAACCACGGTCGACTACGTCGGAGTCCAGCGACATAGCCATTACACTAACTGCTGGTTCCCATTATTTTACTTTTTTAAAGTTGACCAGAGAGAGAGAAGGAAAGTGCGAAAGCAAACTGCCAGGTCCGGGACTCGAACCGCAGTCAGCCATGTGGGAGTCTAGTCGTCACAACCACCTTGCCCCTTACTGGCCCCTGGATCTATTAACTCCTTGCTCACAACGACTCCATGACGTGGAGTCTATAGAGGGGATAAGCCAATTGTCCGGATCACACGGCTCGTGGGTAGCAGAGCCGGGGTTCGAACGCGCAGATTCCGGCATCCTGCCCACGCGGAGCTGCCCTCGGCGGTCCACAGGTCGCAACTGCGCATGCGAAGACCAGTACATGGGCCGGGCTCGCGGCCGGCGCCCCCTGGCGGCCCGGGAGGGCGGGGCCTGGCGGAGCCGGGCAGCAGTGACGTCACAGGCTGAGTCACTGGGCCCGCCCCCCGGCCGCGGCCGCTTGGCCATTTATAGAATCTGCGCGGACTCTGAAGTCAGGGCCCTGGCACGACGGGGGCGGGGTGGGGAGCACTTGGCGCGCCTCCAGACGGGGCAGCCCCGGGTCTCCCGAGGGGACAGCCCTTTCTGGGTCTGTCTCTCTGGGTCGCCGTGTCACCATCTCTCAGCATCTGCAGAGCCTCTTATCTCTGCTGCCGTCTCTCGGTATCTCTGTGACTCTGCGTGTCTCGTAGTCTCTTGTTTCTCCCTCAGATCTCCTCGCTTACCGTTATCTCTGCATCTCTGTGTCTCTGTTTCTGTTCCAGGTCTCTGAGTCATTCTGTTTGTCTCTTGACGTGGAAGTCGCCACATGGTCCCTGCCTGGTGGATGGGGTTAGAGGCGGACAGGGAAGGCTGGTCCTCAGTTCAGCTCCTATTTTGGTGTTTTCCGGGCTCCGGCCCCTCTCTGCCTCAGTTTCCCACTTAATCAGTGTGGGATCTTGTAAGGAGCAGGGTTTCCCGAAGGCTCCACCATGAAAGAAAAGCCAGGACTCCTTTCAGCTATGGGGAGACCCCTCAAACTTTTCCTGTCGCTCAGAATCATTTGAAGCACACACACAGGCCAGCAGGGGGCATGGTGGTTAAGGTGCTGGATCTTACATGGCCTAACGGCAGTTCTTGTGCCAGAACTAGTGGCTTGAAAATCACACCCGGGGACCAGCAGGTGGCATTATGGCTATGCCTCTGGACTCCCACATAGTTGACCACGGTGCGAATCCCAGACCTGGTGACTTGAAACTCATGCCAGGTGCGCGTATGTGTGTGCCCAAGATCCCAGGAGGAGAATGAAGGTAGGACTGTGAGGGACCAGCAGTTAGTGTCATGGCTATGTCGCTGCACTCCCCTGTAGTCGACCACGGTTCACGTCCCGGACCCGGTGGCTTAAACTCACACCGGGCGCCTGTGCGTGCGTGCCCAAGATCCCGAGAGGAGAATGCAGGAGAAGGGATTGCGGCGTGGCCATCCCCCCTGGGGGGGGGGGTGATTTCTCACTTTCTGTCTGTCTCTCTCTGTCTGGCGAGCGCACACGCCCTATAGCAAAAAACCTCTCCAAAAAAAAGAAAAAAAGAGTTATTTATTTATTTATTTACTGTTTTTTCATTTTGTAATAAAGCACATGTGCTCACCAGAGAGAAACACAGAGAGAGAAAAAGGGATCGTGAGAAAGCAAGCCACCAGATTCAGGACTTGAACCACGGTTGATCATGTGGGAGTTTAGTGCCCTAACCCCCCCTAACCATGCCACATGCTCGCCCCATTATTATTATTATTATTATTATTATTATTGTTTAATTTGACCTGAGAGAGAAAGCAAGAAAGCCAGCTGCCAGGTCTGGGATTTGAACTGTGCTTGGCCATGTGGAAGTCCAGCACCTCAACCACCACACCACCCACCAGTCCCAAAACTCTGGATCTTACATGGCCAACTAGATCCAGTCCCAGTCCCAGACCCAGACCTGGCAGCTTGAAAAACGTGTGTGTGTGTGTGTGTGTGTGCGCGTGTGCCCCAAATCCCAAGAGGACAAGGAATTGTGACATGACCATCCCTCCAGGGGGTGATTTCTCACTTTCCCCGTTCGGTCTCCTGTGAGTGCACATGCTCTATAGCAAAAAACTTCAAAAACTAAATAAAAAAAAAAAAAGTTACAGAAATAGTCCCGGAGTTCCCATGTATGTTGGCCAGCTGCTCCTGATGTCAGCATCTTACATAACTGTAGCAGCTTTAGGAAAACGAAGAAAGGAACTTTGCTATAATGCCACTGCTAAGCTGCAGACTGGATTCGCATTGAGTTTCCCCACTAAAGTCCTTTTTCTGTTCCGGGATCCAATCCGATATCCTTTGTTGTGTTTATTTATTTATTTAGCTAGAGGGCGTGTGTGTGTGTGTGTGTGTGTGTGTGTGTGTGTGAGAGAGAGAGAGAGAGAGAGAAAGAGAACCTTTCTGTGTAGACCGACCAATGCTTCAATCCCTTCTTTTTTTTAAAGAATTATTTTTTATTTCATTTTATTCATTGTCATTATCTTATATTTTATTTGTTTGAAGTTGACCAGAGAGAAACAGTGAGAGGGAAGGAAAGTGAGAAAGCAAGCTGCCAGGTCCAGGACTCGAACCGCAGTCAGCTATGTGGGAGTCTAGCTGCCTTAACCACCATGCCACCTGCCGGCCCTAACTGCAATCCCTTTTCTGTCCATTTCCAGTCTCGTCATGATCCTAGACACGTGTGTGCCTGATGTGTTTCTCAAGCTACTGAGGCCAGGGCTGGGACTCGAACCCTGACCACTCTTGTGGAATCTAGCTTCCTCTTCCCAGTGTTTAACTGCTGTGTTATGAGCGAGCTCCCTCCTTCCACTTAATTGTCCTGTCTTGATAGACTCCTCTGGTCTTCATACCGTGACCCTTTAAAAAAAAAAAAGATTAATTTATTTAACTTGATTTACTTATTTATTTTAATTTGACGAGAGAGAGAGAACAAACTGCCAGATCTGGGACTCGAACCTCAGTTAGCCATATGAGAGTCCAGCACCCTTAACCACCACGCTACCTGCCAACCCCCTACGCTTTTTTATTTTTGAGAGAGAGATTTTTGTTATAGGGCATGTGTGCTTGCCAGAGAGACAGAGAGACAGAAAGCAAGAAATCACCCTGCTGAGGGGATAGCCAGGCCATCCTTCTCCTCCCTTACCCTCTCAGGATTTGGGGCTCGTACACACACTTGGTGTGAATTTCAGGCAGCTGGGTCCGGGACTTGAACTGCTGTTTATCACGTGGAAGTCCAGTACTTTTACCACTCCACCACCTGCTGTCCATCACACGTCTGAGAGGACCCGGGAGACGCTTCTGCTGGAGCTCGGGGCCGTGGTCCCCATGGATCTTCCTGCCGACACCAGTGTCATATCTTCTAGGGACACTGGGTGGAGGGCGGTGCCGTCGTCTGCTGCCACCCCTCTCCCGGAGCCACGCCCAGTGCTGGCTGCTTCGCTCCCAGAGCCTTCACTAACCAGATCCAGGCCTTCGGGGGAACCACGTCTTCTGGGGGTGACTGATCCCAGGGCTGATCCCCAGCCGCTCACAGAGGAACTTTTTTTTTTTTTTTTTCTGAGAGGTTTTTGGAGGCAGAACGCCGGGGTGGCCATGCCATAGCCAGTTCCTTCTTCTCCATTCGCCTTGTGATTGTGATTTCGGGCACCGCGCCCACATGTTCCAGTGTGATTTTCAAGCTTCCAGGTTGCGGACTCAAACTGATCAGCCATGTGGGAGTCTAGCGCCACCTGCTGGCCCCTTCCGTAGGGTTCTTTTAAAGACTGCCTGTAGGCATCTCCATCAGGGTAGATGGCATGTGTTCTGTGTTAATAAAATATGTAAATACATGTTTAGAAATAACTAATTCTGTTATTTTCTTACTCTTCACATCCTATAAGAAAAGAGAAGAAAACCCTTTCTGGGGTTAGCAGATGGTGTTTGGTTATGTCACTGGACTTCCACATAGTTGACCGCGGTTCAAGTCCTGGACTCAGCGACTTAAAACTCCTTCTTGCGTGCGTGCCCAAAATCCCAAGAGGGGAATGGAATTGAAGGGATTGTGGCGTGGCCATCCCCCCCTGGGGGTGATTTCTTGCTTCCTGTCTCTCTCTTTCTGTCTCTCTGGCAAGTGTACACACCTTATAGTGATAATCTGTCTAAAAATTTTAAATAATTCTTTAAAAAGTTTGCTTTTGGGACCAGCACTTGGCATAATAGCTATGTTGCTGGACTCCTATGTGGTCCACCACGGTTGGAGTCCCAGACCCGGTGGCTTAAACTCATGCTGGGCGCGTGTGTGTGTGTGTGCCCAAGATCCCGAGAGGAGAATGGAGGAGAAGGGATTGTGGCGTGGCCGTCCCCTCTGGGGGGTGATTTCTCGCTTTCTGTCTGTCTCTATCTTTCTGGCAAGTACATGTGCCCTATAGCAAAAACCTCTCCAAAAAAAAAAGAGAAAAGTTTGCTTTAAGAAAAGAAAGCCCTTTTTATAAGGATAAGACTGTAACAGTTGGGGACCAGCAGGTGGCATGGTGGCTAAGATACTGGATCGCACGTGGCCAACTCCTCGAATGGCAGTTTAAAAAGCACACGGGATACATGTGTGTTTATGCCCCAAATCCCAAGAGGAGAAGGGATTGTGACATGGCCATCCCCCCTGGGAAATTGCTTTCTCACTTTCTCTCTTGGGCGAGCACACACTTTATAACCCCCAAAAAAGACCAGCAGATTGCATAATGATTACATTGCTGGACCCAGGTAGTTGGCTGAGGTTGAGTCCAGGACCTAGTGGCTTAAATCTCATGCTGGGTACGTGTGTGTGCGTGCCCAAAATCCCCAGAGGAGAATGGAGGTGAAGGGATTGCAGTGTGGCCATCCCCCCAGAAGATGTCTCTGTCTCTCTGGTGAGTGCACATGCCCTATAGCAAAAATCCTTCTCTTAAAAAAAAAAGAAGAGAAAGAAACACTGTATTACCCCAGCATCACAGTACTGTGGTGTTGCTCCAGTCTCCTAGTGCAGGATACAATTGTGAGCACACACACTGCCCACGAGATCTCCTGCCCAGTGTGGGTCGCCCAAGGTCGAAAGCCAGACACCACACCTTCCGGTGGGGGAGGGAGAAGGGCGCTGAGAATGAAACTTCATAATAATAATAAGACCATATATTTCTATGGCTTTTCTCCATAGATTAACTCAATCGAACCTCCAACACTGCTATGAGATTAAGTATTATGATCCACGTCACAGGTGAGACAATCGAGAGACAGCTGTTTGAAGCACTAGCCCAGAGTCATGGAGCTAGCAAATAGATGATCAGAACGTGGTTCCTTGGGGCCGGAAGGTGGCATGGTGGTTAAGGGTGCTGGACTCCCACATGGTTGCTCGCGGTTTGAGTCCCGGACCTGGAGGCTTTCTTTCTCGCTTTCCCTCCCTCTACCCAACCTCCCCCCACCTCTCTCTCTCACTCTGTCCCTCTCTAGTCAAATTTAAAATGTAAATAAAATAGAGGCCGGCAGGTGGCCTTGTGATTAAGGGCGCTGGACTCCCACATGGCCGACTGAGGGTCGAGTCCCAGTCCCAGACCTGGTGGCTTACCTTCTCACTTTCTCTTTCTTGCTCTCGCTCTCTCGCTCTGTTCCTTGGTCCAATTAAAAAATAAGTAAATAAATAAAGTTAAATAAAGTAGTTCTTTAAAGTAAATAAAGTTAAATAAAATAATTCTTTTTTTAAAAAATAATTTGGCTTCTTCACTAAGGTCAGTGCGGTGTCCTCAAAACCTAAAACCATGTCTGTCATACAGTGTAATAAATGCTTGTTGAACGAACGAAGGCGTGCACAGCCCTTTCACCTGCAATAACTCATCTGTACATTTCAGGTAGGTAAACTGAGGCCTCCGCTTGCATTCTCAGACCCCTCCAAGCTCAGCCTCCAGCTCACGAGTTGCCTCGCCACTCCCCAGGGCGGTGCTCCAAGATTCCCAGGTGGGTTTGCCAAGCTAGGGGCGGGGCCTACGTTGTTATGGGGCGGGATCAATATCGTCCTGCCTCTCTATTGGTGCGCTTTCCTTTGTGGGCGTGACCTAACTAAACTGGCCTTTTTCATTTGCTGGCTCCCTAACGGCCCCTGACCCGGAAGCGCTCTTGGCCAACATGGCGGCGCCCAGCAGCGAGACGGAGCTGGCCGGGAGTCCGATGCCGATTGCCTGAGTAAGTAGGTCGCGCGTGGGAAGGAGAGCGCGAGCTGCCGAGCCCGGGGCTGCCCGTTCCCGGCTGCAGCGTGGGAGGGCGGCTCTAGAGGGCCCTGCCTGCGGGGCCGGGGCGCCATGACCTTTCGGAGTGCTGGTGAAGGGCCCCCCGTCTGCCCTCCGGTCCCCGGGTCTCCTATTTGCAGATGTGACAGTTGACTCAGAGAGGTTGAGGCCTTCGCCCCAGGTCACGCCGCAAGTCGGTAGCGAGGCGGCAGTTGAAACCCGCGTCTGTCTGTTTCCTACTAGGGACCCACAGTCCTGGCAGCCAGCCTCAGGGCGGCTGTAGGAACACGCTGCCTCGGTGTCCACACTCGTAGACGTTGTGTAGAAATCAAGCGCTTATTCCTATTCAGCTGGTTCTTGATGAGCACCTACCATATAGCAGGCACTGCCCGGGTGCTGGAGACGTAGCAATGTGGAAGACAGACAAAAATTTCCCACCTCCTGGGGGCGCGAGCCAGTCACAGAACTGGTGCTTTCGGTTAAGGGTGATGGCTAATGAACGGGGGAGGGGAAGCGTTCAGAACAGAGACCTGGATGACCACCCACCGGCGGGATGTGTGGAGGGAGAAAGTGCAAACGGGAAGGCAGGTGCAAAAGCTCTGAGCCTGGAATGAGCTTGGGTTATTTCA